TCACCGCTCGTATCATATTTATCCTTCCATCGAAGAAAGGTGTACTCTTTTTCATTTTTCATTACAAATTGTGAATTTTCACCAAATGATTACGATTTTTGCATGTTTTATAATTCCTATTATGGTGGGAACTATTTTTTAAAAAGAATTTGTCACAGTTTTTAGTAAAGTGAACCAAATGTAAATGGGCAAACACTAGGGCAAATGTAAATACTAACTATATACTACCTTGTATCGAGGTCGTATCATCCGTAGATTATTCGTAGAGAATTTATTTCTTCATTTTTTAATCTACACATGACTGAAAATTAATCTTTTGGCAATTAACATTCGGTGCTGGAATTTGATATATGAAATCGTAAACTAAATAGGTGTAAATGTACTATAGAAATAATCTGAGTAATGAAAAGCACGACAAGCACGAGTAGGAAGATATTTCGCGGTAAATAATGCGGTGTACTACCTCGCGTAACTGTCCGATTACCCGCGGTTCCATTTTCCAGCGATCGAATGCCTGAAATTTTCCCCGCCAGACATTGTCGGGGAGCGTGAAAGCACGCGTAAGGGACGAAGAGGACGCCCGGCGACGAATCCGAGAACTTTGCTCTATGGCAAATCGACTTGTCACGAAATCCTATTGCTGCCTCTTGCATGTTTCCAGCGTTTCTCCCGCTTTTTCCGTGAAACCCGATAAAGCCTCGTTCGACGCTGTGCTCAAATTTTCGAGACGCTTAGCCCCCCCCTTCCCCCTCCACGATGCTCACCTGAATCCGATTTCCAACAACGAATGCTCCTATTTGCCGCAATCATTTCCCGGCCACGAGCCAGAAATATCGGATATCGTCAGCGACCGAACACCCTTCATCTTTAATCAGATGGAAAGCTAAACTCTTCACGATACTTCCGTCACGATTTGAATGGAATTCGATTCGAACGTCAAATAAACGTGTTAGAGAACAATAGTCGACACAATTCTTAATCGTATTTTCTTTTCTTTTCTTGTGTTCCTAGATGCTTGCTTTGGCCACGTTGTAGGTTTTGACTTCCAAATTTATTAAAATATTATACAGGGTCGTCCACCTAACGTGAACACCTTAGGTATCTCACTTGCTTCTGATTTGCAGAAAATTTATTTTAATATATGCTCAATGTGATGTCCATCAACTTCGACATATTTTTGCACTAATCCATCTATTGTAGTTATTTTATTATTTAAATCTACTCTCATACATTTGTGGATTTTTTGCACGGTAGGTGGAACACCCTGTATATATATATTTATTTTGGGACGACACCGGTTCTAGCTGTCTGCTTATAAAATTTTTAACTATTTTCTACTTGGTGATTCAAACTTTCAAGTCAAAGTTCCCGCTTTTACAGAGTATGTATAACAAGAAATATGGCGGCCCAGGTTCACTGATTGTGTCTGCCTTCGCCATACATCTTTCACTTAGTTCCTGCCTCCTCCTTGAATGCTACTATTGGAATTAAGAAACTTGAATTAAGAACAATTTTTGCGAATAAAATTTTGTACTTTAAACCAATGGTTGAACTGGATAGTATATATGCGACAGTGCACTATTTTTATGCGGGGCGATCGTAAAAGTTGGAAACCAAAGAGGATTCTGCATTCTGCATTTCATTAATTTAAGACGCATGGAACGATGCGTGGTTCGATGAAAAAAAGAGAAAAGGGTCTAGGGCGCATGAATTCGAATGGATGTTCATGAAATTTCACGTATGAAAATTCATAGGGGGTCGGATCTCCGTTACGTGTCTCAGTCGCAGGATGTTACGGCATGGCGGTGCACGCCGTTCGCAATGACGCGCGAAACGACGACGACGGGGGGCAAAAAGGATTAAAGAAGAAACGTGACTTTTTTCCCCTTTGTACATGACAGTCGAATCGCCCGGAGAATGCGGTTTAAAATTCAAATTCGCGCGAAGAGAAGACGTGTGTCTCGCGACAATCACCGATGACGCAACTGAAAGTCACAAATTGTTCTTTCTTTCGTGAGATTTTCATGAATTTAGGACCATTGTGTAGTAGAATGTTTTTTCAAAAAATAATTTATTCTTAATTTTAATAATATTTCTGGAATTTATAATGTATAATATCTGTAATGTAATGATTCGTAGATCTATGCACATCATGTTGAAACTGTTATGTTGTGGGAATTCGCTATGTCGAATTGGCTAGCAGTAATTTCAGATGAAAAGCGTTGTTGAATTAACGGGGGATCACTAATAGAAATTATCTAGCTAGCGGAATAGCTGATAGGAATAGCTAATTTGTGGAATGTTATCCCGGCAATTCTACGTTTATTTTCTTACATTAAAACCAACGCAGTTCAGTATAATACCAAATAAAGTATACAATACCAGATGCATACATACATATCTAGACCCCAGAGTTAGAGTGTATGGAGTCCATTTTTAAACAAAGGACATTTTACATTCCTGTACTGTTTCCTGTATCAAATATTTCACTCTTTCCGATGGTAGAAATTATTTTGTTCTCCGTCGTCTAGTTTTTAATATAAGTATATAACAGTCTAAAAATGACATTAAGTTCATATTTTTAAAACAGCGTATAGTCCTCATATAGGGGAATTAATGCAAAGTCCACTGTTTCTACATATAGATCCATTCAATAGTTCGAAGGTAGCGATTGTTTCTCGCTCAATTCTTACCAAAACGGTTCCAAAGTTACAAGGTTTTTGCACTTTTGATTTGCTCTCCTCTAAAGTTTGAAAACTGGTTCTGGGGTTCAGATATACAGGGTGTTCTGCTTAAAACAGATTACCTAAATATTATCTCTATCTGTGATCATTCATCTATTTGTGAAAAATAAAAAATAGCACAGATGACAAAGGGCAGAAGTGTTAAATGTAAATATGTTTTAGATTATTTCTTCTATATTTACTACTTATTTAGATTAGAAAAACGACTATCAAGATCCATTTATCTTCTGTGCTACAATTTCCAACATATCGATAACCAAATTA